AGCCATGGACCCAGGACCCCAGCAGCCGTGGGTGATTGGATGCCCATGTAATGTAGGTACGGTCCTCGTCAACGCCAGAGAACGCAATGGGCTGCCGATGCCACCAACTCCGGCCAGCTAGCCCTCTCGCTGTTACTGCCTGTACCTTCCTCTGCCTAGACATATACATATACGTACTACTCGCAGCCCACATTTCTCAAGGGTCGGAGACGCCAGACCGACGCCACCTGGGTAAACCTTAATCATCTGAATCTCGTCCGCTCTCGATCTCCTTGTTACCTGCCTACTTCTCAGCTACTCTCCAGACTCTCCTTGATTCATTCATTCTTGTTGTATTCTATCCCGGCGTCTGGGTCCTTTTTACTTCTCCTTTCCCGTCTCACTGCCTCAGAGAGCCTCCTCTAGAAGCCACTAGCCACCATTACTCTTGCCCAGATCCATCATACTCTTGGTTACTTGAACTTTATACTGCTTTTCACAAATTCAGGCCTGGCGCGTGCTTCGTCCTTTACTCGACTAACCGGCAAACGGCCTTATCCGCAGCATACATACATATAACTGGGCGGCGTTCTCGAAGTTTGAAACTGGTCTCTACCTGTTACTTTTCCCCCACAAGCGACTTCCATCCACCATCTTCGTCCCCCCGGCCACCCAGCAGGACTTTACTCCAGGATACCCACCATCACAGCACACAATTGCTTGACTCTGCATCTGCATCAACTCTGATATATTGTTTGCCTGTATCGACACTGCGGAGACACTACTTATTCACTTGCCCACCCAGCTCTACGGGTCATTCATCTCAGGCTCAAACTTCCTAGACAACATTTCATATCTTCCCTTGGTGGCAGTCAGAATCAAAATCGAGGATTGCGGCAGCAAACACCATTGAACGCAAAACACACGGCTTTGTCTGCTACCACCAGAGCACAAGTCAACGCAGGACTTTGTTTTACTTTGTAGAGATCGGTATTCCTTGGGTGTCATGTTGGCAGCAAATCCACCTCTGACCAGCTCTGCGCTTCCTGATCCCACCATCAAGCGGCCATCGGATCAGATACTGCCCTCTTGGCCATCCTCGTCCTCCTCTTCGTATCTACCAGAGCGACCATTGTCCTCAGAAATGGACGCATACCAGACGGCGTCCAGCCAAGGCCCTGAGCCAGTCCGCCCCCAAGGACGAACTGCCCCTCCACTCCCATCTTCACAGCCTCATTTGCCAACGCCTACGACGACAGCGAGCCACATCGACTCCTACTCTTTCACGAGAACGGCGCAAAACTATACCCTCTCCAACTCACCGCAGCAGCCACACCCGAATCTGCCCCCATACAACGCGCTCCCATCACCCACTCCATCAAGCGCCTCTGGACATCTCGACTCGTACTCTTATACAACCTCGAGACCGCCCAACTTCAGCATTCCCTCGTCCACACAGCACCATCTGTCGTCGTACTCGACTCTCCCGTCCCCCACAACCCAATCCCCGCCCGCTGGGTTGGGACCCCGAGGACTTCTTCCTGTCAGCGGATCTTTTGGTCCACCTCCTCCAGCTTCAGGAATGGCTCCTCCTCAACCTTACAGACCCTATCCCTACCAATCGTTGCCACAGTTGAACGGACCAGTTATGAGCAACATGCATCAGCCAGGCGGTCAGATGGCTATAATTCCAGGCTTGGTGCAACCTCCTACGTTTTCGCAACACCCTCACATCATGTACGGGCAACAGTCGCAAACACCACAGGACCGGCCATTCAAGTGCGATCAGTGTGTTCAGTCTTTCAGTCGAAATCACGATCTCAAACGGCACAAGCGAATTCATCTCGCTATCAAACCATTCCCTTGCACATATTGCAGCAAGACATTCTCTCGGAAGGATGCACTCAAGGTAAACTCCGCTCAGTCAAGGACTTGCATCATCCACTCTGATTTACTAACACGGACGTGTGCAGAGACATCGACTTGTCAAGGGGTGTGAGATGAAAGCAAACGAAGGCAATCAAGCAAATACCCAGAATGGTTTCCGAGAGGGAGAAGGCGAATCTGACAACAATACCACCAGCTCACAGGGCTGAAGTGCGATATCAATCGAGCAACATCGGGTAAACCGATCATCTTTGTACACTGATGACCCTCAAGTGCTGGAACGGGACATGGATCGAATCCACAGTGAGAGTAATGATATAAATAACCATGGGACAGGAAGATCCCTATGCATTTTAGTTTTCAATGGCGAATCAACATCACGAAATTTATTGGCTCGGCGCTGTGGCACTTGGGTAGATCTTAGGGATGTAATGAGGGTTGCATTTCACCTGTTCTAAGGTGGCGGCTGAACAAGCTGCCCCCTTTTCCCACATTGAGAAATTGTAATAGGGCACTACGACGTTTCTCCTGACCTGGAACGACATACTTTGTTAGAAGTAATGATGAACAGATACTTGATATCAGGGTTTTATATTCCGCAACTAGTACAATGTCAAAAGAATATCATTGTAGACATATGCATGGCCTTTCTTAAATGATGGTTCATTGACGTTGTATGTAGACAAATAAGTAAGGTTATCAGGTGTCGTACAGAGCTAAGGAGTGTTTGGGACAATTTGTCGTAATAGACGTCTTTTTTCCATTCCTAGAGTTATTCTAATGTGATTTCCTGTTGCAGAACTAGATTTTTTGGTGGGCGATGTTTCTATGCCACCAGGGTGAATCAGTCTGCAGAGCCAGCCGATTAGATTCTAATACCCAATCTTGGTACCCTTCAACATGTGGGATTCTAATTCAAAATGGTGCTTGCCCTTGTTCTCTCTTTAAGTCTGGTCCGAATTGTGGCATTTGAATGATTTTATTGTCTTGTATTTATGGTATTGTACCTAACCAGCATGTGATCTCTGGGATTTAGGATAGTTAATACTTCTAAGTGAAAATAGAAAACTCTATGGCGGTTGGAATATCTCTTGCCCAAAGTCTACAAGATAGGCTCTGTAAAGTCTTCATACTCGTAAATTCAACCCTCTTGATTTTGACAAGGTCGTCCGAAATCGCCTTGCTTGCTCTACTACCAACCGCATCTGGGCTTGGTGATCACTGCAGGTTGCAGTAAAGTCCAAAAACTTACTCGCGTTTACACCCCTGTGTGTCTTTCTTACAGTAGTTCAACAAACCGTTATTAAGATTAACTTGCTAAAAAATCCCAAGGAGGTACTGTCAAGTATCTCGCCGTTCAGGTACTTACCTGAGACCCAAGGAGCTGGCTCTTGCGATATCTGCGACCTACAGGGATCTCTGGTTCTACGATATGATTGGAAGCCCAGTGTTTCCTTGCCGCCGGACCACGAGGTTGGGAAGGTTGAGTGCGGGAAGTGCCGAAAGAAAATGTCCCTATCCTCGTCGAGAGCCGGGCTAAAGCTCGTTCCAATCCGTAGATCGCACTCGCATTGATCGCCGACCTGTTCTATCGGCCCTTATCAACACTCACGAAATGAGTTAGCAGGGCCCTTTGTTCAATGTTCAATTACGTTTTTCAACCCACGAGACCGTTGAATCCCGCAGGGTTGGCTGGCGCGTCCACGGGATAGGCGACTCCGGAGGCGGGCCGATCTCATCTACCGCTTACCCTCGAGGCCGCTGGGCTGGATCTATTTTGGAGCGTTGCAGCCGGTAGCCGATCAGACACCGGGTGTCGCGACCCCGTCTCAGCCCTACTCGGTGCAATGATGGCTCGAGGGCCCTATTGTAGTACGTAACACCTTCGTTAGAAGGGGACCTCACCGCTCCCCGGTGCAAACCTTGTTCGCTTCGTATCGTCCGTCCAGGTCTCACACTCCACGGCGGGCTTTGTTCTGCTATCCACCTGGCGAGCCACCGCTGGAGCAAGCTTGCTCGCACCCCTCCCCCGCTCTTCACTTGCTCGTAATGCCTGAATCGAGTCTTCTTCGCCGTCTTCCCACATTTTGGGATCTATGTAGTTGGGAGATGACCACGAGCTGGTTTAGTCTGTCGGCCCTTTCTTCGACCCACACCCACATCTCCAAGATGTACCCCGGATTTTCCCTCTAAGCCGATGGATAACTAGTGGTGGCATCAAGACTTCCATACCGCGTTGATGCTATGAATAGACAGAGGAGGGCTGTGTACAAAGCTGGGAGCAGCGATACCCGTAGTCTGTTGTAGGCCGAACGCCTCCGACCTGCCGTCCAATGAGGCCCGACAAGTGCCTGAAGTCCCAGCTTTCTCACCAAGTCGTCGTCATGCCTCCAAAGTAAGACCGAAATAAGCTGCCAAGCAGCGAACGGAACGTCATGGGCACAATCTACTGCCTAGCTGGATTCCATTCATCGGTGGAGAGGCCCAAGTCGGTTTCTCCTAGGCCGAGCCTAAAGTCTACCTGGGGAGTGAGACTTGATCGACACTCCTCTCTACGGAGTGGCATGCAAGTCGAAACCCTCAACAAAAACGGCCCAGATCCACACTCAATTTTTGTTCGTTATTCAGCTCAGCCTCCTACGCAGGAGAATTCCCCGACCGGCGTCAAGACCAACCGGCTTGGCCAAGACTAATTCTCTCACCGGTTGTTCGAAAGCCGTCGTGTCTGGCGGGTAGAGGTGCCGAGAAAGCCACGAGAATATTGATTGTTGACAAAATAAGAGACACTTCCAAGAAGAGTTAAGCAGAGCGCCATGTCCGGATAGGCTGTGCTGAGCATTGGCTGCAACAGGCGCATCATCACACTCGTATCCCTCGTCAGCCGCAAGACACCTGCAGCTCCTCGAGCTCGTATCGGTTCTGGCTATTGTCGGGCACATCGGGAGATCCATGGAATGTTGTCTTCCTCGGCCAGGACGAACTTTATTCTTCTATAAATTGAGGCCGTTCCTCCTCAGTCTCTGCCAGTCTTTCCCATCCAGCATCACCTCACCAGCCTTCCAGACAAAGAACAACCTTATAAAGAACTCTTTCGAACACCTTAATTCAAAACCACCCACTCCCAATCCACCAAGATGAAGGTCTTCGCCATCGCCGCCGCCTCCCTCTTCGCCCTGGCCTCTGCGGCCCCCAGCCCTGGCAACCCTGGCTGCCAGCCCGGCACCTACTCTTGCACAACCGCCCCCGGCGGTGGCCCTGGATGGCAGACATGCGATGTCAACGGCCAGTGGGTTGTAAGTTACCGCTCCCCTACTCCCCTCTTCGTCAAAGAAAAGGGCGGGAACAGACTTGTCCATCAGTTCACTGACATTGTCCACAACAGTTCTCTGGCAGCTGCCCCCCCAACACCGTCTGCAAGTTCTACCCTCCCAGCAAGAGCCCTTACTGTGTCCCTCCCGACTTCCACTTCCCTTAAGAGGGCTGCAAGCATTGCTTGGCCCGGGACAGGGCTTCTTGATAAAAGGAGCCAATCATGGTATGGATGAGTGATGATGAAAGAAGAGCGGCGGAGCGTGAACACGCAATTTTTTCTCTTCAGACGATCCTTTGGCAGATTATGAAGCTTCAATCTGTTTATTTGATTTTTACCTGAACGTTCAGTACGATCCTTTGCTACTAGTTATATTATACAATGCTATAGAAGCAAACAAATGTGGAATTTGCACTCACTCCTTTCCCGTCTTAAAGCACTGTGATGAAAACGAATTATTCCCAATGATACGTAAATATAACCTAAAATCGGTACCAATTCCAAAGACCCACGGTATAATATGGACCAAAGCCCTCAATGGGAGGAAAACAGTTCGTATGGTCGCATACACCATTCCTCGGACGTTGCCTGGCTGCTCCGCATTGTGGTCTGGTGTCAGATCAACCCCCCCCCCCCCTCTTCTCCACGTGGGGAGATCGAAGCTACCCCAGCCAGTCAGATGCCGATGCCTGCATATATGCCGTAAGAATACGGTATGACAATGCATAGGTAGTCATGTTAGGATGAACAGCTAAGCCAAAGTGCCGCCGCCTGCGTCACTTGGTCTCACCTACCGGCTTCTTTACCTCCCCTCACCTCTACGCCCACGGCGCGGGGACGGAAAAGGCGGCAGTAAGAGACAAGTAAGCCAGCCTGGGCGTTGTGATTCAGCTGGATGTGATGTGTCGATTCTGCGCTTCTTCATGTGCACACCGCGAATTTGGGACCATCGTATAGAATAGCGCTCAAAACGAGCAAAGTGTAGAATACCAATTACCGCTGCCATCTCAAAACAGGCGTCGCTAGCAACGATGCCCCAGAAGGCATGCTTGGATTTGAGTACTTTGGCTGCGACCTCCCTTGCGTTTGTGACAAGAGTCATCAGCTGAGGGCTGGGACCGTTCCCCATTGGTAGTCCTCCCCCGATAAAATCCTGTTCTTGCAGATCAAACCGCTAGGGTGATGCATAAACCACCTTAGCTCAGCTCCCAGCGTTCAAATACGAAGCAGCCCTCCAATTCCGACCCAAAGTCGCGAGACTGCGATGCCTCCTATGGGCTAGAGCCGCCAGGCCCCCATCTCGATTTTTTCTTCTTCTCGTTATGCGTATAAGCTGGCGTCTGCTTTGCGGCAGGCCCAACGACCTCGTATCACAAATCTGAAGCGCAGAGATCACCCGACCTGATGAAATGCCGGGCGGGAGCTGGGCTGAGGAAGCGGGGTAATGAGAGCAAAACCTGCTCGTTTGATAACTTTTTACGTGATAGGACATGCAAAAGCTGATATCAGAGACAGGTTAACGAGATCACGCGGTGCGGGTTTGGATCAAGACAAGCTGAGGTGGCTTGCGGTCAATGTCTCTGGGCCAAGGCCTCACTCAGCGGCACGAAGCAAGCAGCAATGATCGTCCGTCAGCCTGGCGGCCCAGTCAGCGCATAGCTGCGAACTTCCGTGTCCCATCTTGGCATCACAAGAGAGGTATGTGATGAGATGGCTTTCCGTGCCGCTGGCTCGCTTTCCTCGTATTGTAAGCCGGTGCGATATGATACATACTATAGCGGGCGAGAGCTCCGTTGTGGACTTGAGATGCGGCATCGGGCCTGCAGAGATGACAATTACGTTGTGGCACGCGATTGGAAGGTTCGGTTCGTTGCGAGAGCGTTCTCGTTGGCTGAGCTCAGGAGTCTTACCGAATTAACCCTAACCCTAAGTGTGGAATATCGAGGCATGCATGCGGCTGTAGGCAACTCAGCTTCTTGTGGTAGAATCCTGAGAAATTGGTAGGGAGAGGGGTGGTGGTTCGGCCGCCTGTTTCAGCACCTCAAGATTCTCCGGTTCCCCCGTCTGAATATTAAAGATGAAGAAGACCGTTTTAAGGTGGTTTCAAAGAAACGCAAGCTCAGCTATACTTAGTCTCCCGCAATAGGCAGGTAGGAGAACTATATATAACTGAGCTTCCTTTCCTTTGAAGCTACCTTGAAACGGTCTACTTCATCTTTAATATTCAGATGAGGGATCGAAATCTGCATATGAGAAGAGTTATTGAATTGGGCATCAATCAGCCGTGTGCCGAGTTGTCCTGCGATGGGCAGGTAGGAGACAATACGATGCCTATTCACCAAGAAGCCGCACGAACTGATGCCTTTGCGATAGATCCAACACGCTGGGAATCCAGTACGGCAGTATTTCCCGTGGGGCACTTGTTTTGCGTTCTGCACCAAGTTCCGGAAGCATGCCGTGAGGCTGATATAAGAACCAAGCGTGGAGTCTTTACAGACGAACTCAGCTGCAATGGCATGTGGCGAGAGCAGCGATCCTGGGAGGCTATTGCGGAGCAGAAATGCCAAAGACCACTGATGAAACGAGGATTGAATACCAAAGTCAGAAATACCAATTACCATTCATTCATCATCTATAGTGCATAATTGCTCAACGCTAAGATCACAAAACATCTTCGGCTTTTATGGGCACCTTGCGGATGAACCACAGAAAAGGTCATTATCAAAAGAACAAAACAGTCTTAGAACGACAGGGCCCAAAAAGCAACAAAAACCACAGTAAGGGAAGGGAACACCGACTACGACGAGGCTTCAGGAGCCGGCGCCGCAATGGCCCTCTTCCATGAATCCTGAATCGCCTTCCAGTACTGCACCGCGTGCGCACGCATGTGCCCAACATGCCCGCTGCCCTCGAACATCTCGAGGTCCATCTGCCAGCCCAGCTTGGCAGCCTCGGCGGCGTGGATCTCAATGTCCTCGTAGCCGATCAGGTCGTCCTCCTTGCTGTACAGGTAGAGCTTCCTGGCGCCCTTGGCCTCGTACTTTTCATTGTTGGCGGCCTTGCGGCCCCAGGCGCCGGCGTGCTCCCGGCCGATGAGGGACTCGTACAGGCCGTTGATGGAGAGGGCCATGGCCCAGATGGTCTGCGTGACGACAAAGGGCCAGGGGAACCAGGCAGCGGTGCCGAGGGCCATGGCGCGTGACCAGCGCTGCAGGTTGGCCCAGTGGAAGTCGGTGCTGCCGGGGGTGGAGTCCATGGAGAGGAGCTGATGGGGGAAGGGCTCGTGGTAGCGGTCCTGGTAGGCGTTGATCATGGAGGTGTAGAAGATGGCGCCCGTGTTGGACATGGTGTGGGCCAGGATCTTCTTGGGAGCGTCCGGGGCGTGAGGCCCGGAAGGGAAGATCTCGTCGATGATGGGCGTCATCCACTGCGAGCGGTCCTTGAGGTCGGAGAACATGGCCCTGGAGATGGGGGACAGCACGACGATCTGCTTGGAGTGGGGGAACAGCTCGCGGAAGCCGTCGGCGTACTTGGCGACGTGCTTGGGGAGGCAGTCTCCCCAGCCGTAGACCATGACCACATCCGGGTCGTCTGCTGGCACAGTCTTTCCGTCGCTCAGGTCGGGCTGGTGCACGAAGATCTGCTCGGAGAGGGCCGTGAAGCCAGGGATCGCGGGAGCCTTCTTTGCAGCAGCCATTGTGGTTTCTGTGCGGCGTCTGCGTAGGAGCCGGAGAAGCTTGCGTAGCTGTAGGATGAGAAAGGTGGCGAGCAGGATTGAGGCCAGATGTCTCTTGCCAGGTCGCGGGCCGTTACTTAGATGTTGCACGAGCCTGGCCATCGGCGCCAGCGGCGGCCGTTTCCAAAGCATTTTCAATGGCAATAAACTGGAGACTTTGCGTAACTCGCCCACTACCTAAAATGTGTCACTCAGTAGTGCTGGATACTATGAACCAGGACGACGAACCGAGCCCCAACAATGGCGAAAATGGAGCTAGACGGAGCACCAAGTAAGCTGGGAGCCTGGCTGGTGTTGTTGAGCCGTCGGAGCTGATGACATAATTTAACCATAACCACAGCCAAATCGCCAGATGAGGCAGGTCAATCGACACCTGGATCGCGTTCCTGACTCGCCTGCAGCAGTTTCACATCGCCTTCGGGACAACCATCGAGGGCTCTAATTGTTGAGAGCCTCTGCAACGCCAGCAGGACAAAAAGGAGACCGCCCCCAAAAAAGCTCAGATGCCTCGGCTTGTTCGTCGTCAGCTCCACCTCATCCCCGACGCTATCCAAACCCTTACCCAAAACATGCCTGGCCGGGCCCGGCTTTGGTTTTTGACCCCTGGAGCTGGGTAGAGAAATCTAGATGTTCCCACGTGGGTCGTTTCGGCCCCCGCGGATGTCTGCTTTTTTCACGGCTCAGGACTTGCATCCAGCCCTCCATCCGTTCATCCATCATCCGTCGCCGCTACGGCCGGCCACGGCAATGTGGACACTCACTTGCGGCTGGTTGGGCCGCATCATGCTCGAAAGTGCTATATTATGAGAGAATGAGCGGGCCAGTGGCCCGTCTGTAATCAATGTGATTTGGCCTCGACCTATTACCCTAACAACAATGTACAGGTTTCCGTTGCCAACCCCATATCTATCTATACATTGCTCGCCTCTTTCTGACACGGTACCTAAATATATCATGGAAATACTATCAAATAGAATTAAAAAAGATCTCAACAAGAGCAAGCATTTCCATCATGATTGCTCCGCGGTGCTTGACTCCTCAAAAGCTGCCAAATAACATGTCTGTTGCCCAGAAACAAACTGGAGCACGCCCCGATATAGAGAGCAGAAAAGAAAAGAAACCAAAATGGGTTGAAAGGAAAATAACCAACGAATACAGCCTTCAATCTTGTGACAATAACCTCCTGCCTCATTCCGTCATTCCCTCGCGATATTCCTCCATTTGTAGATTATTATGACCGGTGATCACGCTTGATCCTGGGTCCATGTTGTGAGCTTGGCCAGTCGTGGCGTAGCATAAATGTCAGGCTTCTTTCGACCAGTGCCCATCTTGTGTGGTTCACGATCCGCCGGCTAGATGCTGCCGTGCTAGAGCCAAGCTGGCTTCCATCGATAGCAGAGGGGATGCGAACCCAGCTTCTTCCGTCGTC